GATTTTGTTTTATCTTATAATGTTTAAATGATTCTTTAAAAATAGTTTAAATATACTTTGAAATAATTCATTCTGAGATTTTTAAAAAAAATACTCTAAAAACTACTAACCTTCTAAAAACTAAGTCAACTGTAGACTCAGTCACAACTTTAATGCTACTAGCTTTCTTTGCTCATGAGGTAAATTTTTTGCCAACAACGCTGTGGAGCTTAGGGGGAACACTGATCCCCAGTCCAGCAAGCTGTTTCCTGTTGTGGCCCACCAGATGCCCACGGGAAGCCTCTAGGCCAGGGGCACAGAAGCCCACTTTTTGGCCCCGAGCGACAACTTTTCAAAGGTATGCTGCCTCAGAACATGGAGGTTCCATTTTCACCACGGCTAATAGCGGCACCCAGATCTGCCAACTTTTCCTTTTTATGAGCTGCTTGGAGGCCCTCTAACGGAAAGAAAGAAGGTGAGATATGAATATTTAGATTCAAGCGAATAAAAATGCAACTGCCTTCCAGTAATCTGCCTAATCCCCCTTTAAAAAGGTAAAGGTAAAGGTTCCCTTGCTCAAAAGCCAGTCGAATCCGACTTGCGGTGCTCATCTCCGTTTCCAAGCCGAAGAGCCAGCGCTGTCCGAAGACGTTTCCGTGGTCATGTGGCCGGCATGACTAAACACCGAGGTGCACGGAACGCTGTTACCTTCCCACCGAAGTGGTCCCTATTTATCTACTTGCAATTTCTTGCTTTCGAACTGCTAGGTTGGCAGGAGCAGGAACTAGAGACGGGAGCTCACTCCGTCATGCGGCACACTCTGGTCTCGAACTGCTGATCTACTGACCTTCCACAGTCTTAACCACTTGAGCTACAGAAACTTTCTGCAGTCTGCAGTTCAGCAAGTCAATGAAAGGCAGAGGCTCACCTAACAGTCTTCCTTCCCCTTTTGTTCTCTTTGTCTCCCTTGTAGTCAGTGCACAGGTGCTGTCAAGCCACCGTCTTTGCAGAGGTGTGGAAGAAGCAGCTGCACCACCTCTGGTCCAGGTAGGGGGGATGAGCGGGGGACGGCCTGGCAGGTGGGGATGATGATTTCTATAGTCAAGAAAGCTAACACTTAGGCAGAAAAGTGTTACGCAGAAAAACTCTCTTAAAAAAGACCAGTTTCTTGGCACAGAGTTAGAAGGGATCCTAGAGGTCACCAACTCCAACCCCCTTGCTCAGTGTGGGAATTAGTCAACAACAGCACCCCACTCTGCTTAAAGAAGAAGAAGAGAGAAGAGAAGAGATTGGATTTATACCCTGCCCTTCACTTGGAGTCTCAGAGTGGCTTACAAACTCCTTTCCCTTCCCCTCCCCACAACAGACACCCTGGGAGGTGGGTGGGACTGAGAGAACTCTGACACAAACTGCTCTTTTTCAAGGACAGCTGTGCCAGAGCTTGTGACTGACCCAAGGTCACATCAGCAGGCCTCCAAGTGGAGGAGTGAGGAATCCAACCCGGTTCTCCCAGATTAGAATCCGCGCACTTAACCACGACACCAAACACTACACACACCTTCAAAAAATGCTTAGAAACGATTGAAAGAAGCATCCTGCATATACCTGGAATGCTCCACTCCAGTGTACATTCTCTGCCTAGCATGATCTCTGACGAGGGAATCTGCTTTTTCTTTCAGGGTCCCTTTTCCTTTGAGGAGGTGGCCGTGTATTTCACGGAGGCAGAGTGGGCCCTGCTGGATCGGGGCCAGAGAGCTCTCTACAGGGAGGTGATGCGGGAGAACTATGGGAGCGTGGCCTCTCTGGGTAAGGACCTTTCATAGGTGCCCAAGGTGTGAATTGCTGTCATTGGGATGATGTTTGGATCAAAATATTGAACAAGTATACATCGTGTTGAGGCCTGCCCTTGTTACTTGCCCCCATTGGGGGCCTCAAGGAGTGTGTGTGGGGGGGCAACTTGAGAACTTCTCAAGAGGAAATCAAGAGAGTATTTCTGGCTGCGAGTGGGTATCCTTCACGGTTATGTCAAGGGAATGGACAAGGAATAACTATATGGAGGGTTTAACATAAGAAATACCATACTGGATCAGGCTAGTGGCCCGTTCACTCCAACACTCTGTGTCAAACAATGGCCAAAACCCGGGTGCCATCAGGAGGTCCACCAGCAGGTCCAGTTTCTGCTTTTCAACTCAAGAATTCTTTGCTCGGTAGAATGATAAAGCCTGCTGGATACTGAGGATGGGTGGTCTTCTGGGGCCTGAAATTTGGAAGACCGGGAAGTTCCTTCTGGGGCTCAGCTCATTTGTGGTTCTAGAAGGAGTACATACTGGATATTCCAAGTTAAAGGCCTCATAACTTGAGAAGAGCCCTTCTGGATGAGGGCAATGTGCTAACTCCTGTCGCAGTCTTCCCTCCCCACAACAACTGGCAGACCATTCAAAAACCATGGGGGTCCCCTTTGAACTGTTTGGTTTCACTTAGTTTGGTGCAGTGGTTAAGAGTGGCAGTCTAATCTGGAGGAATCGGGTTTGCCTTTCCAGTGTTCCCTCTAAGTTGAGTTAGTGTGTCTTGGTGTTAGTCTTCTTGGTGCTTGGGGAGGTCAATAGTGGGAGGGCTTCTAGTGTCCTGGCCCCACTGGTGGACCTCCTGATGGCACTGGTATTTCTTTTCTTTCTTTTTTTTATTGACTCTTCTAAAAAGAAGAGAGTTTATTCTTTTTTCATATAGGAAAAAGGGAGGTATATAGTGGGATAAAGAAAAGGGTTGGGTGATATTATTATTAGTATGTTAATCTTTTACTAGTAATACACAAATCTTCTTTTGGCTTCTTCTGCGAGTATTTCTGGCCACTGTGTGATACAGAGTGTTGGACTGGATGGGCCTTTGGCCTGATCCAACATTGGCATCTCTTATGTTCTTATGTATGAGCTGGCTCACAGTTTTTTTAGCTTCCGGCTCACACATTTTTGTCTCCGCTCAGGAAGGGATGGCGCCAGAGCAAACTAATTTATGCAGTAGCCAAATCACCGGCTCACAACTTTAATGCCGGTAGCTCACAAAGTAGGATTTTTGCTCACAAGACTCCAAAGCTCAGAGCAGTGGTTCTCAACCTTCCTAACGCCGCGACCCTTTAATACAGTTCCTCATGTGGTGGTGACCCCCAACCATAAAATTATTTTCGTTGCTACTTCATAACTGTAATTTTGCTACTGTTGTGAATCATAACGTAAATATCTGCTATGCAGGATGTATTTTCATTGTTACAAATTGAACATAATTAAAGCATAGTGATTAATCACAAAAACAATAAGACCATCGAAAATCTGTGCTTTCTGATGGTCTTAGGTGACCCCTGTGAAAGGGTCGTTCGACCCCCAAAGGGGTCGCGACCCACAGGTTGAGAACCGCTGGCTTAGAGGGAGCATTCACTCCTCCACATTCAGCCAGCTGGGTGACCTTGGGTCATTCACAAGTTCTCTTAGAGCTGTTCTCTCAAGAGCAGTTCTCTCAGAACGCTCTCAGCCCCACCTACCTCACAGGGTGTCTGTTGTGGGGAGGGGAAGGGAAAGGAGATCGTTAGCCGCTCTTGAGACTCCCAAGTGAAGGGCGGGGGTATAAATCCAATCTCTTCTTCCTCTCCCGGCTCCCCCTCCCCCAAGGAAACGTGTATTTTAAGAGGCTGTAAACCAGCTTTTCTTTGCTCTTGTCACAACTAGAAGGAAACTGTGTGCAGTCACAGGACTGGATACCATGATAACTTCTTGTATTTAATCATCAAAAGATCTGCATGGCTAGTCAAATGCAAAGGGTGGGGAGAACGATTCTTTGCCACTTTTTGCAGTCAAATACATATTGGGAAGTCTTAGGGAGGGGAGGGAGACTTGGAATATAAAAACAGCACTGCTAAAGGGCCCAGTTGGGGAAAAGTTGTGACCAGCAGCTTCAGTTGAGTGGAGTAAGGAGAGAACTCCTGACAAAGGAAACAAAATACACACCTATCTGTCAAGAGTGCCTGATTTCTGGCCAGTTTGGTGTAGTGGTTAAGTGCGCTGACTCTAATCTGGGAGAACCGGGTTTGATTCCCCACTCCTCCACTTGCTCCTGGCTGGATGACCTTGGGCAAGCCATAGTTCTGATAAGAGCTGTCCTTGAAAAAGAGCAGTTTCTGTCAAGAGCTCTCTCAGCCCCACCTACCTCACAGGGTGTCTGTTGTGGGGAGGGGAAGTGAAAGGAGTTTGTAAGTTGCTCTGAGACACCTTTGGGTAGTGAAGGGCGGGGTATAAATCCAATCTCTCTTTCTTTCTTTCTTTCTTTCTTTCTTTCTTTCTTTCTTTCTTTCTTTCTTTCTTTCTTTCTTTCTTTCTTTCTTTCTTTCTTTCTTTCTTTCTTTGATTTTTATCCCGCCCTCCCACCGAAGCGGCTCAGGGCGGCTTACAATAGTTTAAAAACCAGTAAAAATTAATATATCACATCTAAAAAATACAATCAGTAAAACAGCCAAATATAACTTATGAACATTAAAATTACAGTTAGAACATTACAGTTTGAGCATGGCGGCCATCCCTTATAAAGTGCTAGAGCGATTGATCTGGGCTATTAAACGCTTGTCGGAACAGCTCAGTCTACCGCTCTACGGAATTGGTGGAGATCCTGCAGACCTCGAATTTCATTTGGGAGCTGATTCCACCATACTGATGCAGCTAGGGAAAACGCCTTGCATGAGTGCTGACTGGCTCTCTCTCTTATTCCAGGGGAAGGTATCAAGGAGACAGTTGAGGAATTCCAGGAGTTCTCATTGGGAAGAGAAGAGGAAGAAGAGTCTGACTGTAACTTCCGGGATCGAGGTGGACGAGAGAGGCAGGAGGGAAGCAATGATAAGGAGGCAAAACCTTGTCAAGGAGGGGATTCCCATGAAGTAATTCACATGGTAGAGGAAACACACAAATGCTTTGATGAGGGATTGAGTTTCTCAGATCAAACTCAATATGATGTTGATTTGCAAAAGCACCCTGTGAAGAAGGCCCATAATTGCTTGCAGTGTGGAAAGAGCTTCCTCTGCGGAGAGGATCTCATCACACACCAAAGAATCCATATAGGAGAGAAACTGTATTGCTGCTCAGGCTGTGACGAGAGGTTCTCAGAGAAATCAAAACTCCTTCAACACCAGAGAGAATGTTCCCACCATTCAAGAGGAGAGCCACTGATCTGTTCAGAGAGTGGGGAGAGTTTATTTGACGGGAAGGCACATCAATGCTTTCTGTGTGGGAAATGTTTCAAGTGCCGATCACATCTCCTTTTGCACCAAACAACCCACGCAGAGGAAAAACCTTTTGAATGCTTGGAATGTGGAAAGAGATTCCAACGCAGTGTTGATCTTCGAGGGCATCAAAGAATCCATACAGGGGAGAAGCCTTTTGAATGCTCAGAGTGTGGAAAGAGATTCAGTCAGAGTGGCAATCTTCAAAGGCATCTAAGAACCCACACAAGGGAGAAACCTTTCGAGTGCCCAGAGTGTGGAAAGAGCTTTAAATGGAGAGGCCATCTTCAACGACATCAGCGAACCCACACAGGTGAGAGAACTTTTGAATTCTCACATTATGGAAAGAGTTTCAGCTGGAGTAGTGATCTTCAGCAGCATCAAAGAACCCACAGAGGAGAGAATCCTTTTGAATGTTTAGCGTGTGGAAAGATATTCAGCTGTAGAGGCCATCTTCAAGAGCATCAAAGAATCCACACAGGGGAGAAACCTTTTCAGTGCTCAGAGTGTGGAAAGAAATTTAGTTGGAGTGTCAATCTTCAGCGACATCAACGAATCCACACAGGGGAGAAACCTTTTCAGTGCTCAGATTGTGGAAAGAGATTCAGTTGGCGTGTCAATCTTCAACAATATTTAAGAATCCACACAGGGGAGAAACCTTTTGAATGCTCCGAGTGTGGAAAGAGATTCACACAGAAATCCCACCTTCAGCAACATCAAAAAACCCACAAGAGGGGAAACCACGTAGCTTCTCAGACTGTGACAAGACCTTTCGCGTGTTTCACACCTTAACCAACCACAGGCTGGACAGAACTGAAACCATAAAAAACTATAAGGAGTGTGCATATGCTCAGAAACTGTACTGTAACCATAGAAAAGAAACAAATTTCAAACTGTGGAGAAACAGTATAAATGCAGAGATTGTGGAAGCCATGAATAAAGCCTCAAGTAGATCTCACTGGGAAGGCAGCAAGGGTGTGTTCTGAGGAGGGGGGAGTGTGGCAGGATTCTGATTATATCACAAGTTTTCTTGGTGATCCTGCATGTTTTCATGAGGTTGGCAGATTATATCAGGTTCATTGGATGGTTGCATAAGGTTTTTCTTTTATCTTGGACAATGAATTGAAGCAGTTTATTGCCTTTCAACTAAGAGTTAAATTTGGCTGCCTAATCTTCCTTAAAAACTTAACCAGCCCATATCAGATGCATTTTTAGACACATTTATTTGGTTTTCTCACTATTAGGTAAAGGTTCCCTTGCTCAAAAGCCAGTCGAGTGGACTGGTTAAGGTTTGCGCTGCTCATCTCCGTTTCAAAGCCAAAGAGCCAGCGCTGTCCGATGGCGTTTCCGTGGTCACGTGGCCGGCATGACTAAACACCAAGGTGCACGGAACACTGTTACCTTCCCACCGAAGTGGTCCCTATTTATCTACTTGCAATTTCTTGCTTTTGAACTGCTAGGTTGGCAGGAGCTGGAACTAGGGACAGGAGCTCACTTCGTCATGCGGCACACTCTGGTCTCGAGCTGCTGAACTACTGACCTTCCACAGCCTGCAGTTCAGCGTCTTAACCACTTGAGCCACCACAGCTCATGGTATTCTTACAGTCACCAAAAAGATGGTGTTTGGCACACAACCAATCCAAGATACAACATTTATGAAGGAAGCCCTGAGATTTCTTCACCCTATCAAAGACATTTATTCCAAGAAGGGTGCGTGTTTCTTACCCTCCCCCAATATTTAATCTTTACAACTATCTTGCAAGATATGTTAGTCTTAAATTGCGATCGGCTGAAGGTCATCCAATGATCTACCCACCCAAGTGTGGATTTGAAATCAGATCCACTCACACATGCCCCAACACACTGGGTCTTAACTGACCCATGTCGTGAGTGTGGGGAGTCAATCATTGGGATCAGTCGTGGCATGAAGTGCCTGCCTGTCTCAAGCATCTGCAAGAGGATTTCTTTCTGCAGCTTTATACACAACTTTTTAAAAGACACATGCCACCACACTCTTTTTTCCCTTTTTTGTAAGAGGTGTAGAAACCACTCATTTATTTGATTAAAAAATCTAATAAACAGAACTGGTGTCTAGGCCTAGGTATTAGCATCTGGGTGTGCATTCCTTCTTGGTTTATTTTTCGGGCAGGGTTTTGGAACGGTATCGGAATAATGCCCTCTGTGGAGTCTTAGGACCAAATTGCTTTTTTAGGTTTTCTAGATCTAAACTTATCCCTGGCTACAACAGTGGAAACTCTCTTCTCTTCACACCGCCTCTTCTCATGGCACCAAAAGGACAATACTGTTGGATATTGTAACTGTGCATGCAAGAGGATCTGGGAGGGAAAGGATCTATTTTTGTAAGTAACGTTTCTTTCTCTTGTTACCATTGGCGTCAGGTCATCTCTGTAATTTGTTTGAACTGCATTTCCCCCTTACCTGGGAAACATGGAGGATTGGGATACTGTGTAAAGCTTCTGTGCTTCCAAGTCATTTTTTTTTTAACATTTAACCCAATAAATGCAGTCTCTTTGAAAGAGGATTTTATTTATTTATTTATTTAGCCCTTTTAAAAGCCTGGCCTTCCTCCAAGGAACTCAGGGGGGTGTATGTTGGTGCTGCCTCCCCCAATCTGCCCTCACAACAATGAAAAGAGGCTCAAACTTGTGAAAAGCAATTTAGATGAATGTGCTGGCAAAGGAAAGATTTCCCAGATTTATTTAGATTTATATCCCGCCCTCCCAACGGCTCAGGGCGGCTAACATACGGCAAAAGCCGCATTAAATAGATAAAATACAATAAAACAAAGCCACATTAAAACACACAATAAAACCATACAATATTTAAAGTGCTCTAGTCTTCCTACATATAAATCACCCAAGACGGGATCAGTGAACCCAGTGCGGCGGCCAGCTGTCTCTAGCGCGGTCTCCAGTAGCGCTGTTCTATGCGCATTCTGCCAGGCGATAGTTGCCCTATATGATGGAAACAACAGTAGGACAATGCCACCATGGTGGAATAGTGGCGGCGGTGGCTCCTACTCAAAAGCTTGGCTGAAGAGCTCCGTCTTGCAGGCCCTGTGGAACTGCACAAGGTCCCGCAGGGCCCAGATCTTCTCTGGGAGCTTGTTCCACCAGGTAGGAGCCACCACCGAAAACGCTCTGGCCCTAGTAGGGGCCTGGAACTTCCAAGATTCATCAGAAATCAAAAATCATCTGGGAAGGGAATTAGATGTCTGGAAGACAGTGAGATTGACAAAGTGAGATTGACAACATCGTTGCAGAAGTGCGGTGCTCATCTCCATTTCAAAGCCAAAGAGCCAGCGCTGTCCGAAAACGTTTCTGTGTTCATGTGGCCGGCATGACTAAACACCTTCCCACCGAAGTGGTACCTATTTATCTACTTGCAATTTCTTGCTTTCGAACGGCTAGTTTGGCAGGAGCTGGAACTAGAGATGGGAGCTCACTCCGTCATGCGGCACACT